AGGGGTTTTGTTTTCCCAGTTTATTGAGTTCATTCCTGGTTGCTCACTAGAGATTTACACAAAAGTTCTTCAACTTTTGAAGTTGTTTTAACAATGGACAACATTAGCCTTTTCTAAATCACCCCCAAGGTGTATTTTAATTATAATTTTAAATTGAATTTTATATTCTAATGACATAAATTGAAGTATAAAGAAATACACTTTTCTATGTGAAGATATCTCAATAATTGAACATTTCTTAGAAAAAAGCTATGGCATTTTTTCATTTCAGGAATATTTTCAAAGACACTGTGATATATTAGCAACTGACTCCTAGTCCCATGGCTCTACCCTTGAAGACGTCTATTTTGATGACTTTGGGATTAACTTTTTAATCTAAGAACCAGTATATTCAAATTGCAAAGCTAGATTTTTTTAATGAGCAATTTGAGGTAAGTAAACAATAGTACACATTCTGAAATGCAGAAAGCCAAACTTTGAACAAGAGATGATTTTAGGAAGGAACTGATGTAAAAGATAATTTATATTGTTGTGACTCATCAAATTAGCTCCTAGGTAATTTAGATAAGTCACTTCTTCATGCAACAAGCAATGTATTGAAATGACAAAAGCAAACTCTTCATATGGCTTCTCTATGGATTACAGTAATTTGACTGAACTGAATTATTTGAGCTCTGATGGCTAATGACCTTGATCATGCCATGGAGAAACCAAACTCTGAACTCATATCAACATCCATCATGAGTCATCATTATTATCCCCACTACAAGGCAGTTTTCCTTTCCTTGACCTACAGAGGTTTTGATTCTTTGGTGTAAAAGAAAGTTTTCTAAACCAGCACACATTTTGTGACTTTAAAGTGTTAAGAGGTGTATTTCTGGGGCTGAAGAGATGGCTCAGGAGTTAAGAGCACTGGCTGCTCTTGCAAAGGATTCTGGTTTGATTCCCAGCACCCACATAGCAGCTAACAACAGTCCATAACTCCAGTTCCAGGGGATCTGATGCCCTCTTATGACCTCTGTGGGCATTGTACAACATGGGCACACTTACATACATGAAAGCAATACACTCAGACATATAAAGTAAAAATAATAAATGTCATTTAAAAAGCATTAAGGGGTGTGTTTCTGATCCAAGCAGTGTGATATGGTGTGAAGGACAAGGGTTTAGGATAGCATAGACTGGATACAAGCCACACTCTACATGAGTAACTTAAGGCAGCTAAATAAAGTTTCCTTTTTTCCCATCTGTAGATGGGCTACACTTCCTGTCTCTTGAGGCTGCTTTGAGAGTGAGCAGATGAACCCTTCATTTTTCTAATTTCTGAAGCCTAATTCTCCAACTGAATCTCTGCATATCAGAAGATGTGAGAGCAGTCTCAACATGAATCAAGTTTGCACTTGCTTTTATTCAAGAATAAATTTGAAGTCATGGAAGAGCTGATATGAGTTTGGATACAATATGAATGATATGACACATTTCTTCATATCATTTACTAACATAAAAATAACAATATAAAGAGCATGCAGTGAAAACGGTAAACGCACTCCACTTTATTATTCTGATAAGGTGAAACTTATTAAGCATCAAACACGAATTTATGTAAGTTAGATTTTTTTTTTTTGAGACAGGAAATTGCTATGTAGTCGAGGCTGACCCCTAGCACTGATCACCCCTCCTCTGTCTGCCCAGTGCTGGGAACAGGTATACATCACCACACCTGGCCTTTAGATTCTCCTTGCATAGGAATAGACAATCAGGCTACTGTGTTAAACTACAGGCAGACACAAAGGAGACTATAAGGAAATTCCTGACTTATATTAACACCCTGGTGGTATTATTTTAACACTGCACTTTCATCTCAAACTCTAGCCCTGGATCTCAAAGTGTGGCCCTCCAAACATCAGAATCAGTATCATTAGCATACTCGCTAGAAAGTGAATCCTTATGTCTCCTCATCCAGACCAAATGAATTAGAGATTGGGACAGACCACAGCCAGCTACAGTGCTTTCATGTTCACTAAAGTTTCAGAAATACAGCTGTGTATTATCAGGTCCTAAATTCAGTTAATTGATATGCAAACAACAGCAACAAGAGGATGTGATGCACATTAAACATAAAGAGGGCATATTTAATTTATGAGTTTAGTACTAATTATTAAATTAATATAGCTGGCATTTCTTTTCTTCTGGTCTACACGTAAATCATCAATTAAAATAGTTGGGAGTTAGAGATCTGCGGATCAGAAGTCCAAGGTAATCTACTGCATGGCAAGTTTGAGGTCATCTTGGACTGTGTAAGACCTTTTCTCAAAATAACAATAACAAAAACAGAAATGGAACTGGAGCCACAGCTCAAAACGTGTAGCACTTGCCTAACATGCACAAGTTCATGGGCTCCTAGTACCACAAAAAAGGAAGAAAGTAATTGCCTAGTAGCACATATTTTTAAATTGTGTTACTTGATGTTCCAGTATCTCATTTTAAAAATAATAAAAATGAGTAATAGAAACAATCAAATAATAAGGTATTGAGTTCATGACACCGTTCACAATAATAGCACACTCTGTAATAAAATAAAGGAGCACAAAAAGCATGAGAAAATAGTTCAAACATAAACGTAATTGTATTAAAGAATGATTCTCTTGCACAAGTAGCAGAAATTATCTAAGAATATTGGTTGAATTTGACATGTGTCTATTAAAAATAGTACATTGTCTAAATCAAAACTATAAAAATATTTAAAGAAGCCATATTTTTTCTGGTTTCTTTTCATTTTGTATTCAGTCTCTCTTATGACATACTTCATAGAAATTTTCCTATCAGTGGGAACACTGACAAGCACATTTGCTAGGCATCAACATTTCAATCACCGTTCCAGTCACAAATTTTCAAGTCAAGCATCTTCTACCGCTGAGATCTATTCATGGGAGCATTCTAAAATTACTATGTGCTCACATTATGATAATGAAAGAGAAATCCAACTTACAAGAAAATTGGAATAAACAACAAAGCACAATGCAAATGTTATCACTGGTTTTAGACTGATGAATGTAGTGGCACTCAACAGTTTCTCATCCCACCTTAACTATACATGCTAAAACGTCAGAAAGAGGCAATACTAACAATTCTAATTGCTCAGGATTAGGAAGAAATACACTAAACATTATTTGAGTTTTAAATGTATTTTAAGATTTTCTCCAAGTACTGTTCATGAGGAGTTTACAGGTAAGGGATATTATTCTTCTAAAGTTAATAAGCTCCTGTAAGATTATAAACTGTATCTAAGGATGAGTTTGCAAAGCAAGATCAGCCTTCTGTTGTCTCCTAGAAGGAGATATTGGTAATGTCATGACATTGAAGACAGTTGTAAATATGTCTCTAAATGTGAAAGAGATTTAAAAAAATCTTCATCTCTGCATACAAAAATGTGATGTCAACTGTATATGTTTGTTTTTTTCTCTTTAGGATAGTGTAAATTGAAAAGTCATAAAAATACATAATTCACAAGTAATAAAGAAACAAGGAAAACAGGGACCATGCAATGATAAGTACCTAGAATACACAAGCAACATTTCCCCCTGCAGTATTATGCTTGCTGGAATAACTGCCTTATCTGTACCTCAGGACTGTAGTTCACTGACCGGGTTTTAAATAAACTATGCATCTCATACTTTATTTAGAGGATAAACTTATGAAATATTATTGAATTTGCCATTTAATCATTATAGAGTATCATGCATTATAGCCCTGCTTGCAGAAAGTTTACATGGAGCATTGAAGAAAAAAAAATTAAACTATACTTCAGAAGAAAATTTTGTTTCTTTCACTAAAGATACAAAGCTCATTATTTCTTCTAATAAGTATTTTAAAAATTTTTATCGATTCCTTGAGAATTTCATAAAATGTATTTTGATTATATCCAGATGCCTTCTCCCATCTCTACCCACATATTAATTTAACCTTTTCATTTCATATCCTCTATTATTATTTTTATTTCTTTGTTCACTGGCACAGCTATCCATTAATGATGTGTTTTACAAATAGCTCATTTAATAAGTTTAAGAACCCGTTAGATAGAAGATATTGCTGTCTCATTTAAAATTAATTTTAATTTTATATCACTTTAGGAGACAAATGCTCTGACAGACTGTCCCTTTGCAAAAATAGAAGTTGGGGGGAGAGAGAGAGAGAGAGAGAGAGAGAGAGAGAGAGAGAGAGACAGAGAGTTCAGCCAGAGAGTGTTCAGCCAGTGACAGAAGCAGACAGGTTCCTAATGTCACTTTATAAGCATGTGGACATGCTTACTTTTGAAAATAAGATAAATGACTTGAGAGTAGATGACCTTAACCAGTCTCCATGACAAGGTATTTTTTACTCTGATTGAAAAATTTATTCATTAAATAAATCTTTCTTAAATGAGTGGAGACGCCCATTAAAGGACATTTCTGAAGATGCCTTCTTTACTAACTACCCTTGCCCCCTGAGCACTAAATAGTATCTTCACAGACACCAGGTTATTTGAAGCTATGAAAAAGCTACATGCAGTATATTCACTTTATAATATTCTCCAGTAAAACCAGCAGCCCAGGCCTATCTGAGCCCTCCCGATGCTTGCCACTAAACTTTGCTTAAAAGAATTTGAGTTGTTCAGCGTCCTTACACTGCAAACTCACATTTACTTAAGAGTCAGAAATACAAATTTTGCAAACCTTAATCAGCTGTTGTGTCTGATGGTTTTATTTTTAATATCAGCCAAAGGAAATCTCCAGCAAGGGGAATCTCTGCTTCATCAGCCAAAGGTCAGAAGACTTATTTGAAAATCTAAAATAACCTCTGGCAAATTTAAGGGCGATATTTAGGTAAAACACATTTCTTCTAGTCTCTGAATCTGCAGTTGACCACAAGGTGGTGGTGGTGGTTTTAGTGAGAAATGTCCTACATAGGATGTAAGTATTTGAATGCTTTGCCCCAGTTGGTGGCACTGTTTGGGAGGTCATGGAATCTTTAGGAGGTGCAGTAGTGTTGGAGGAAGTACATCAGTGGGGGTGGGCTTTTAGAGTTCATCATCTTGCCACACTTTTCAGTTTACTCTCTCTGCTTCCCATTTGTCTGTGAAGATGTGAGCTCTCAGCTTTCTGCTCTGGCTGCCTCCTGCCATGCCTTTCCCTGCCATGGTGGACTCTCCCACTCACGATGTTTTATCACAGCAGCAGAAAAGTAACACACACACACACACACACACACACGGAAGAAGAAGATTGTTTCCTAAGTGGTGAAGACCTGGAGAAACAAGATTATGAAGAGAGTGGATAACTAATAACGTCCTGCTTGAAGTCAGTTAAGGTTTTGATAACAATTATCCAGTTACTGAATGAAGCTATCTAACTTTTCTAGTGAAAGTTCAAAAAAGATTCTAACATTTATGAAACATTTGATAGTTATATTAGAAGAACTTGTTGAGGCTTCTTCAGTTAAAAAGATAGACATATCCTTTCCTGAATGATTAGGATTGTGATATCAGTTTTGGTGGCTTTCTGATTATGTACGCATCCTAAGTAGGTACTAGGTCAGGATAAAAGGAGTATAAATAACATTCAAATAACTGCATGAAAGGATTTGGTTGTTTAAACTACTATGTATCACACTCCCAGAGAGCTGCAAATACTGCATGCTATTTTGATTAATGCCTTACCCATAATTATTTAATATCAATGTTCAAAACATAGATGAACTAATAAAGATTAATTTTAGAGAACAGGCTGTAATTCTTACTTTGTGTTCTTACTGTAACAAGAAAAACTGTGGCGTCTAAGAAAAGTGTCTATGAAAATGATGGTGGTCAAGCCATGCATCATTGCATTTATCAAGCATGTTGTCTGCACATGGATTTCATGATAGTGTCCACATTTCAGCATAAAATGAATCACATGTTTCTTTACTTCTGGCATAAATGTCTTAGTTCTGTACCTATTTATCTCACAAAGAGAATCATCAGTTGGTCAAGGAGTTACTGCTTTTCTGGACTGGAAGCAAAGCATAAATACAGGCATTTGGGGGAACTCTCTGCACCAAGAAAATAAATAGCTGGACCATTAGTGGTATTTTATTCTGAGTGAAAAAGACAGTCACCCTAAGGGTATAAGAAAAGAGTATTCTCTTGGTCATCAGGCATAATTTCCATATTACTATCAGGAAACTTTCCTCTTTGTAGTTATAATATACTTCCTTGAACTCTGCAGAATGTGTAAACCAGTTTGTAAGATAAATACTCAGAAATTCTAGCTTACAATTTTAATTTTGGAGTTCTTTATAAATGACAAAAAAAAAAAACAAAAAAAACCCACTGCTACTCACCATAGGACCAGGGGGTCCATCTTGGCCAGCAGCACCAGGAAGACCTTGTTCTCCCTATACAAAAGAAAATTTCATTCATTTTATTTTAGTTAATAAGAAAATATAGATTACCTTTTTTGCAATGAAAAAAGAAAAAAGTTATCATCTATCAATTGTATCACTTGAAAACCATATATAAATGTTGTAAGTAATTGTTTCTCTTGTTCTCCTGTGCATAGAAACATATGTATATGTGCATATATATACATATATATTCTTAAATGGGCATATGCACTTGTAGATAGAGATACAAATATATGAAGATATGCACGTTTAAAAGTTCATGTAATTATGATATTAGACATTACTTTTCTGTTTTGCCTTTATAAATTAGAATTTTACTACAAACTTGTGAAATAGATAACATTATTACATAATACATAGTGAACTGCCACAAAACATACTATAAGTTATGAAGTCATTACCTTATAAGTGTCTTAATTTGTTTTTAATGTTATTTTCTTAATGACCACTTTTTGCACAGATGCTTACCACAGGGCCAGGGATGCCTCGCAGACCTTCTGGACCAGGCTTTCCAGAAGGACCTTGAGGTCCAACAGGGCCAGTTTTCCCAGGAGGCCCTTCAGCACCTGCTTCTCCCTGTTAAGAAATAAGACATGTGAGCACATTAATATGAGAAAGGGCACATTATTTATTTTTTAAGGTACTGAAGTTTATATGTTTCAAACGCATGTAATTTCTAGGATGTTTCCTCCGCACATTTTACCTTAGCCCCCTTTTCGCCTTGTCGTCCCTCTGCGCCTGCAGCTCCAGGAGGACCCTGTAAATATAAAGTTGCATTTTAAATATGTGCCACCCGCCTAAAATGTAATGCTATTGAAGACTTATTTAGAAACACTAGAATTGTTAAGGCTTTACTATATCGTGATTTTTATGACACTTTTTGTTTTAAACACAATGTAGAAAATGGAAAGTATTTTTGTATACAAACTTCTATTTAGATTACTAAACATTAAAGGTCATAGGCCTTTATATAACATCAAAGTAAAGTAACAGTAAAATCAAAGCTTTATAAAACCGCTTATCACCTAAGATCATTTCTATGAGTATAATACTAGCCGCTACTTGTAATTTTGAATTACTGAGTTACTTGAATTTATTAACTATCACTTTCATCTTTGTATTTAGAATGTTTCAGGAGTAGCTCACTCTACAAACACCCATATGCTCATGCATTCTAGGATCATGCACCAACTACAGAAAAATATTTTTAATCATAGTGGTCAAAAGATGTAATTCACAAAAAAAGTAACATTAACAAATAATCACTTCTGAAACTCTAGGATTAGAGCAATAATGGAAAATTATACTAACGATGTCATATGTAAGCATTTGTAGAGAAAGATTAAATAAGGAACTTAATGATCGCTAAGGAATTGCTTTTTATTTTTGCTCCAGTTCCTCTTGTTTTCCATCTGTTCCTCAAAGACGGTCATCAAAATCATTAAGTGGACAGCAGATACAGACTGGAGAGAGCAGTTACAGGGTGTTATTTGGTGACACATGAGGAAAACTTTCTATTTTTCAGATGCTGTCTTAAAGTTCTAATGGTGATAACAGGCAAACCTTTCATGCTATCTCTCAAAACTAAAATTTAAATGAGAATCAATCACTTGTTCCAACTCAAAATTCCAGGAACTAAGTTTATTTATATGAGTCAATGAATACAACATCACCTGTTACTATGTTTTATCATCAGCACTGTAACCTCATTCATTCATTACTGGACATTCAAGGTACCTCAATAAGAAAAACTGGATATGTATAGATTATATGAACTATTTCTCAGGGTGTTAACAACATCTTGAATCATACTATATACATTAGTACTTCAAAGCACATCTTTGTAAACTTCATTCTATTTATTCAACAGCATTTCTGTATTGAATCATACATATTAACTTTTTCACAGTGTTGAAATTTTGAGACAGAAATCGCATTGTTGTACTAATCAGTATAAGCTAAATTTGAAAACTATCATAATGATTATTATTTCAGAAATAACAATACAATTCAGTAGTAGTTTTTCCTTATTTTATAAAGGTAAAAATTTCTCATTAAAATGGAGGCGTAAATTACAGAGTTTTAATCTCGAAAATTTGCTTTTATACATAGGAACACATTTACACAGGATAGTTCAAAAGATTTGTAACTCTTTTTTTTTTAAAGCCAATGACTCAATAGGTAAAAGCAGGGGAAATGGTGTCCTTGTTATGCTAAACGATAAAAAATAATCTGTGTTTTTCTAAAGCATAGAGAATTTTGACACAAATAAATGACAAACAGCCAGAAAATTGTGACTCAAAGAGAGGTTTCTCCACTTCAAAGGGATTTCTACCCTGTGCGAACAAGTATCTATCCTGGTGGAAACGCTTATTAAATGAGTGTTTTGTTCATTTTCTAATCTCTCTTTTCCTTTATATCTTATAAACATATTTCTTCAGTGGTAAATATGCATTTCCTCTAATGAAAACCTAGGATGAAAGCGGAGCAGCTTTTTCTAGGACAGGGTGCAAATTTCTTTGAAAAAAAAAATGCTTTAAAACCTCTTGTTTCAATGTGACCTCCAACAGGCATGCTTTGAAAAAGCAATCACCAAAGCAATGGCAGGGGGAGCTTGGGCCCAATGGGCGGTTTTTAGGTCAGGAAGGCTCCATTCTCATGAGTAATAGTGATTATGCCTCTCCTTCCAGATCCCTCTATCTTCCTTTTAGAATCCTTATTATAGTCTTTGTTCTTGTAGGCCATAGGTAGCCCTTTCCTTGATGTAGACCGCTGATGCTGAACTTGCCAGCCTCTAGCCTATGGACCAAAATAATTCTTTCTTATAAGTTACCCGGTCTTTGATATTCTGTAATGGCAGCACAAATGGATGAGTACAATTCCTATAGGCAAATTCTGGCCATGGTTCTTTCTCATGTAGGCAGAAACAAAATCTAGTTAACTTTATCATCAACAGTCACTATTATAACATTTCTCTACTCATGAGAAATACACTCTCTACAGTGTAATTTTGCTTCCATCGTTCATAGTTTACAATATGATCTTGTAACTTATTCATTCTTCCACTCATCACACATATTTAAATATTGCTTATGTTCCACAAGTGTGGCGTGCATGAAGAATACAAATATAAGATAACATTCAAGCCATGAGGAGTTTACAAAGCTTAGTTACAAAGACAGACATATAGGATAATAAAAACACTACATAAAATATGTATGAGGATGATGTCACTGTAGAAAATAGTTACTTTGATCCGGTTTGGGGAGAAGACTTTCCTTAGGATTTAATGTTAGATCTGAATCTTGCAGTGTGGGTGGAAGAGGGCAAGGTTTTCCTTTTGATAGAGGATTTACCTTATGATCATTCCTGTGCAAGCACAAAGGCACAGAGTAAAAGCAGGTGACACTCTCCAGAGAACCTTTAGTAGCTCAGACAGGCTATTCGCTAAGTGTCTGTGAACACTGTGAGTGTATTAGAGTGCATCATTACACACAGGAGCTGCAAAATCAAGGAACAAAGAAGAAAGGCAGAAGACAGCAGAGCCTTGAGAAGGGGCCTGTCTCTTCAAATATTAGCCAAATACACTATGCTAAAGACTAAAAATTAGATACTTGAATAAATATTTATGTACCTATTTAATAAATACATTTTCTCATTTTTATGTTAAAAACAGAGATTTGTCTATAAATTAAATATTAAGATACTTCTATTTGGAGTTTTTAAAAATCAAATAAACACAATTTAGTTTTTTTTTTAGAACTTTTAATATTATTTTTAAGGCTTATTTTAGTTTTTTATTTGTCTGTATCTTTTATGTGCATGCCACACATGGAGGCCGAAAGAAGGCATCAGATCCTCCCACAGAGTTATAGGCAGTTGTGAGCTGCCTGCTGTGGGTGCTGGGAACCAAATTCCAGTGCTCTGGAAGAACAGCAAGTGCTCTTTCATAATGACTGAATCATCTCTCTAGCACCTTTAATATCATTTTGTAAGTATGCATTTCTAAGGACATGTATAGTCTGCAGTGGTTTCCAATTAAAATGTCCATCTTGCTCATATAATGACTTTGTTATAGTGTTCTGCTGAAGAGAAATTTTAATTAGTTATTTAGTTTATTTTATCATTATAACATAATATCTACTTATACATTTATATAACGGGAAAATTTCCAGGACATTTCTAAAAGCAAATATTTGGATTTGAAATTTTAATTACTAGTATATTTACAATATATTTATTCACATACACTCTGGGTTTACATATGTGATACATATGTACAAAATGTATATATGTATGCACCTGGCCTGTATAGTATATAAGTATGTGTATATGTCATAGTAATCAATAGTCTTTTTCTGAATTGCTAGTACCTTTATCTTTCAAATATGCAAGGATTTGTTTTTAAAATGTTTATTTAAATTTAAAATGTATATTGTTAAATAAATGCTACTCGTTTGAACTTTCTTGATTTAGACTTTCCTTTGGCAATATGAGCTGGTCTCCAAAATTCAATTTAACTAATACTGTTAACACTGTTTCAGTCAGGGCTGTAGAATGTGATCTTCTAGGCAAAACAGCCACCACTGTCATCGGAACAGCTGTGCCTCCTTGCAGGAAGCCACCATGACCAAGTCTTCTGACAGATAACATTCCTGGGAGAGATGAGGTATGGAAAGGGCCATTGTACCCTCACCTGAGATTTCTGCTGCTCCCAGCCATTTGTAAGCCCTTCTGTCATAATTCTACTGAAGTGTAGGGGTCATGGCGATGAGAGCATATACAGGCAGGGGAAGGGTAACTGAAGGGGACTCCATTCACATGTTTATGGGGAAGCCATCACCTATGCTGAGTGGAGACTCTCCACTGTGGTTGCTTTGGGGTCACCCACACTTTGTATGTAAGTCCATTAAACTCATTGGTTTGAGCTGGAGAGATAGATGGCTCAGAGTTTAAAAGCACATACTGTTTTTGCAGAAGACCTGAGTTTGGTTCCCAGCACCCACACTGGGCAGCTCACAAATAACTATAACTGCTGCTCCAAGGAATCTAATGTTGTCTTTTGCAGGCAACTGGACTCACGTTATAGACATCCACACATACACAGACACACATACACATGGCAAAAAATAAAATAAATTTAAATTCATGGGTTCCCCAGATTGAACTTTGGCAGAGTCATACTTTAGTTTGTTGTTAGGGCCTTATACGTATTGTTTACTTCACCCCAGAGGAGTTCTCAAAAGATTCAATTCTAGAAAAGTTTGAATAAAAGCACAGGTAATGGAACTAGATACAACGATAACGTGTATTAAAATTCCATGGCTCACTGGTATAAGTTGTACAATGTTCTAGTTCCTTTGAAAAATATACATTTATTCTTAAATATTACAAATCCACGACCTAAGGTACATGTACCTCAACTTGACAAGTTAATTTTCCTGCTTGTTCAGTAACTATCAAAAGGCTGTTTCTAAGTATAAGTGCCACCCAGAGTACTCTAATCCATATTTTATTAGTCTTACCCATTTCTAAGATTCACTCAAAGTCATAACATTTTGAATTGGTATCTCGCAATTGTTCTTTCAAGGATAAGATATGGCAAGACAGTTATTGGTCTACTTTTCTTTTGCCTCAATACAGAGAAAATAAGGACAAGAGATATGTTAATTTATACAAAATGCAGGCAATGCATGCTGAAAACTATGTTCTAGGTGGATTAAAGAAGATGGGTTGGAAGGTATGGAACCATATCATAAGCCTGCAGATTAGATAATATGGTTATTGTGTAGGCGTGCTATTAAATCGTGGGCCTGTCCCTTTAACAGGTCATGTAAAGAGACCAGACCTCATTGCCCTAAAAACAGGCCACACCCCCTGCAGCTTTCTCTCTAGGGCAGAAAGTTAGTCACTTGTGCTGTGGTTTTGCAAACCCTAATTTATGGTCCTTCCAAGTACCTGGGCCTTTCATCTATTCTCCTCAACACTTAAGCTATCTCAGACTAAGTTACACAGCGCGGAACTTCCTGCTTCCAATAAAACGATATCAGAGTCAGATATTGTTTTTTCTTGGAGCGATTTCTCAAAGGCTCTCTCCTAAGATCTACCCTGCCCCGATCATCCTGTCCCTGACGGGTCTTTCTCTTACTCTTACTTTTAAAAAAAAGTAAGGGGTCCAGGTTTTCAGGCAAGCCTTTCCTTTAAGGTCCTGCCATGCTGTTTCTAATATATTGTACAGCTACTTTTCTGATGGTCTCTTTCCTCAAAGCCTAATCATGATCTTGAGGACTTTTTTCCTAATAAACCTCATTCCTGAATGTTGATCACGTGTGAGGTTCTTTTCATGAACCCACTTGCTGTCCCTCTCCGTTCTCTATATCTAACAAGTTTATTCTTGCTACATTCACAAAAGTGGCATTAAATTAACTGCTGGCTGACTGCATACAAAGGTATACGGAGACAGAATTTTCATTTCAGTTTCAATCTACCAAATGAGCCTCTGCACCTTACCTTTATTGTATTAGACACTCTAAGTTGACCCATCTATAGACAAAGTGACCCTGCAGTGTAAGAACAGAGTGGCTTCCTAATTGCGCAGAACTTTTAAGTTTCCAAATACTTCTTTCACGCTTACTTCTCAGTTTAACCACAATATTATTTTTTACAGGGATCTCAAATTTGTTTTGAAAATCTATTTCATAAAACATAATGGAGTTTTAATAAACTTAAGTGACCTTATTATCCTCGGCAATAATTTTCAAGTGAAAATCATGAATGATATGTTATATGAATTTACACCTAAAAATAAGTAATGTAGGTTATAATATCAATTTCATCCTAATATAAAATGCATTTTATTAGTGATTTCAACACTTTCTGCATGTGTATCACTCAATGATCTCAGTACTGGTCACTTTAAAACACAGAAAACAAATGGTAAAATATGATTAAAATAAATAGTTTTATGAAGGTACTGTAAATGCATTGCATAGTGTTTCAAATATGCATAATACAATCTCACTTATTCCTCACCTCAGCATCAGTTATTATGCTCATTTTACAAAAATAAATCTCAAACTCAAAGAAAGTAACTAATCCTACATTACTTATTTTTAGTAGCAAAATATGAATTTGAAATTTTGTCTATATGATTCAAATGAGACCACATTCTAAATTATTTAATGTGATATTACCATAATCAGCAGTGTCAGTATCTAGGTTTCTAAGTTGTAAAAGACATAAGTAAGCAAAGCTCAAGCTAAGCTAGTTCAATTGTCTTTAATTTAGAAGAGTGTAAGCATTAATTCCTAATGTTAATGCAAATCATAGATTAGTGTTAAAATTACTGTCATCAAACTAGTTTCTCACACAAGTAAAATATAATTTCCTTTGATGGAGAAGACAGATTATTGTGTCAATCAGATAAAGTCAATTTAGCGTTCCAGTTTATTAAACTTAATACAAAAAGCAATTCAGCACATTGTGTTCAGCAACTTTCAGGTTAGATTTAATGACCTCACATTTTAAAGAAGGAAAACCTGCATATTTAATGCTCAATTATGCTGACCTAAGTTTGATCTACTATATCAAAATGAATATAAATAGCTTTGTAAGGAATGTGTAGTTATCACAGTTTCCATGCCATTAGTAATTCAGAGGTACAAATCCCTTCCAATTTATTTACAAAGTGACTAGAATAGATTAAAAACCCCATCTCATTTTAATTATTATTTGGAATGAGCGGAAAGAATATCTCTACAATTTTGCCATGACTACTATTAAATAATTCACCAAATTTATGAGAAACAGATAATTCCGTTAAAGTACTTTCTAATACTAGTAAGGGAAATATGATACAGGGAATGATTTAGTAAGTAGTTTGTTATCTTAACCTGTCAATATATATTCACTCACAGCACAAATTCAAGATCAGTAATTTAGAAAGTCCTTGCACGTTACTTCCAATTGTTCCATTTATTACATAGAATTATCTCTTATATTAAACTTTCATCATTGTCTTGCTTACTTTATTCATTTTATGCTAAATGTATTTATTTTAACTTTGGACAGAATATGAGTATATGAATGAAGTAGCACATTATACCTCTTCAATTTGAAGAGTTTAGATGACAGAGGAGAGAGATAATGATAAACAGTATCATAGTTTGCAATAAGTAAATATAGACTGAAAATTCATTTCATCCACCTAACTGACTGAGAGTCAGAGTTTAGCATCCAATTAGACTGTAGAGAATCAGCTATCTACCCATATATCTCTTGGCTGACTGGTAGTTGCAGTTAATGGCCAACACACTGTAATAAAAAAGTGGAGAATTTGACAAACTCAGGAAATATCGAAATTCAGAATTAGAAGCCCAATTTGTACAGAATGCACACATGACTTTTGTACCACCGTTAAGTTTAAAGAAATAGGGGATTGATCTAAAGTTGGTAATATTAGGTTTTTGAGATGATTCAATGTTGATTCAAGGACTGATAACTTATTTTAATTCTCCAACTATTGTTTTACAATTAGAACTCAATGCATTTCTATTGTATACAATTGTGACTGAATATAGAACATACTTATATGTGCACATGTAAATGAAAATGTTAAATGTGTAATTTAGACTATATACACAGAGAAGCAGGTGACTCTTGAATTAGGAGTTGTTTGACTTATTCATATTGTAACTGTGACATGGTTAAAGACATTCTGATTTAGCAATTATTTTGACACATTTAAGAAAGTGGATGGGGGCTGGAGAAATGGCTCAGTCTTTATTAAGAGTACTTGCTTCTCTTCTAGAAACCTGAGTTTAATTCCCAGTACCCACATTAGGTGGCTCTCAACCACCTATAATTTCAGCACCAAGGAATCCAACACCCTCTTGACTGTATGAACAACCACAGATAAGTACACATGCACACACTTATACAAATAAAAGGTACACTCATACACAGATAAAAACAAAATTAATCTTCAAAAAGGAAAGTGGGTGATTTTCATCCTCTTTAGATGCTGACTATAGTTTGCATGCATAAATTAATTTAAACACAAGAGAGATAACTCTGATAAAGAATGAAAGAAACTTACTCTCTTTCCAGGAGGACCTGGTGGACCAGCCTCACCCGATGGACCAGGAGGACCCTATAAAATACATGTATGGACAGAAATGTAAGAACATTGTGTTTAATTAGGTGAGTATGATTATGGCGCACAAAAGTTCTCAAATTATGAACTAGAACTGAACTTTTCTTATTTCCACACATGCATCTTTCCTAAAAAATTCAGCCCATTTAAAACCTGGATTTCTGCTAGATAGCAATAGGTAGAACTGGTAAATTCATACACTAAACTTCTTCACAGCTATAGGAAATGAATCAGATTTTTTTTATGGATATTTGTGTCCTTTTAAAATGCAATATAAATTCAACAAATGTCTATCACATACATTTATTAATAGACTCATACAGTTAAATTCTTCTTACATCATATAAATTATAAAAACAATAATCTATTACCTTTAATTGCTTCTCATGTAACATTAGCATTTTTTTTGTGTGCAACTGTACATACAACATGTTAGGGTGTGGGACATTGGTCTCGCCCATACAGAAGAATCCTATACCTCAGACTGTAAACACTCAGTGAACAAAGTGTGTCAGGTGCAGCTTTCTTCAGATCCTGTTTAAGCTAATGCTCTCCTTTCCTAAATAATCTGTGTGGCTAAAACACATAGTGTCATTCCAAGAAAAAAAATTTAAAGACTATAATACAATATCATTTTGATGCTTAATTGAAATAACCCTTGATTACGGCATCTTCCCTCTAAACTTACTTGTACTTAATTTTTTTTCTGTAGCCCAATAGATAAATAACAAAACTGAAACACTATGAGATACTCAGGAGCATGATATGATTCAGCTTTTATTATGAATGATCTGCTTATATTTCTTTATTATGATAAATTAAAAACATTTCATTTAAGATCTTAAGATCGACTCTGAATTGAAATTAAACAATTCTGACAATTCTTACAGAGAAATGCATGTGCAATGAGATTTACTTATGAAAGAATGTTCTCTTCTAATCACATTATTTAAAACACATGAGACTATGGAAGATAAAGGGGGGAGGTGAGTAGTCTTGCTTACCGGTTGCCCTGGATCGCCATCTTCACCCTTATCACCACCAACACCATCTTGACCCTGTAATTGGGAGTAGAAAATGAGCCTAGATGTTTCTTATTACATATTACCATTATCCTGGTAAAAAAAATTCCATAGATCATTTTATTATATTCTTGAGAAAAAATTACCATCAAATAGAAGGCCAAACACAATTATTATGATATTTTATTTTTTAGAATCATGGTACCACGTGTTCTTGCCATAAATATTTGAGAAATTGCTATTATATTAGACTGAAAATAGGGTATAGTTGCATAGAAAGATGCAATTAGTGTACAGGGACAGTGCCTACTTTCGACATGAACAGATATAATACAGTTCAAGATAGGGTTTGCAAAATTTGTAAAATTAAGAAAAAGATCTTGAAGTATAAAATGTAGTTTATTGCTATTTTGTCACTTTATTTGTTCACTTCAACAAATTCTGGAAAATTGTTCCAATGAAGCCCAGATCTCATAATGCAGATGCAAGAGTTAGAATTGTCATCATGCTTCCTGTTTCTCTCATTTGTTGTTTGTAGGAGTCCAGTTAATAAAGAAATTTTAACTATTAGTGTGGATAGAGAAGAGTCCCACACAAGGCACTCTTTCATTTTTCCATGATACTTACTGCAGGACCAGGTTCCCCAGGGGGACCAGGATCTCCAGGAAAGCCAACAGGACCCTAGAGAGATGGGTTTTAAAGGAAAATAAATAGATTAATGTGAAGTATTATAATGCTATCTAACTATAGTTTATGGGGTTAATGCCATGGCAAAGTCTGCTTGGATGCATTCTCCAGACAGAAAACAATTTAAAGCTGGAATGAACTAAGAATGCTTGTGAATATAGGAAATGAGAAAACGATTCTGGCTTCAGCAGAATCTCACACTTCTGATCTTTCTGAGATAGATTCCAACGTGAATTTGATATGAATACCACTTTAAAAGAGGCAAACTCACCGGGTTCCCCTTGGGGCCATCATCACCTGGTGGCCCCTTAGCACCAGGAGGTCCTGCAGCACCAGGTGGCCCAGCCTCTCCTTTTTCTCCTCTTTCTCCTTTGGGACCCTACACAATATGGGCAAAAGAAATAGGTACACGACAAGCTTCATTTCAAAGTCTTAACATCAGCATGGTAGGACAGATGATTCTTTGCTTTCATGGTCTGCATTCTGCACTGTGAAATATTGTACAATTTCTGAACTGTATTAGCTAAATGCTAATGGCTGTGACCTTTGCAAGTTTGATAATGGAAAATACTTCCAAACATTTCCAAATGCTTCCTGTGGTAGGTAGGACATTGACTAATTCTTTAATTTAGGTTAGAATGATATAACTCTGATATAATTCGGAAATTCTTTTTAATATATCAAGTATTGTTGGTTTATTTTTTATGGACAGCTCAAAAAGCACAATAGATATAATAAATAGGTGTGGGGATTTCACTTATGCAGTATATGAGCTTTTCAAAACTTATGTAAGAATCAAAACATGCAGAGTATTGGCAGTTTTTAAACATTACATGTTTGCATTTGTGGCTACTTTTAATAGGTTAGAAAGTAAGAATTAAAAAAAAAGTACAGTTAGGAGATAAGGTCAATGTTTAAATGCTCTAAAAGAAATCCCTAAACAAATCAAATCAATAATGGCACTGTGCTAGTACTTACACCTGTGCCCGCTTCACCGGGAGGCCCTGGGTTCCCTGCTTCTCCTGGTTCACCCTATAAAGACAATGTCAGCGGATGATTAGAACACATAAATGATGTTTTTCAGTGGTAATAATGCCTTCACTTTAGCCTCTGGACATATCTTTTCTGGGAATCGCAAACTGAACTTTTGGAAAGTTAGTCATATGCTTTAACATCATTTAAAATACTGTATTCAATGTGTTTCCCTTCTGTGCTCTCAAGGTGTTTAAATTTAATTAGCCTTTAAGAAAGACAATGTAATTAATTTTACTGTGCTTTGTACTCCCAATGTAATTCACTTTTACAAGCTACACTGACCACATAGCTTTAATGTCCTACCACACTATACCGTTGTGACTTTGTTATAGTTCTGATTCACAACAATGTATGCATATCTGAGATGTGGTAATTAGATCTGAGATCACCCCTGAAAGCAGCAATAATGTTGAAACAATGCATCCCCTACAGATATTTGAAACAGCATGAGGGCATATGCTAATGACATTAATTTATGGTTCTATATGCGGTTCTCAGTCAAGAGGGGAGAAAAATTATTTGTTCTCTTGTGAATCCTTCTTACAGATTATTGGAGACAATGTTCTTTATTCTTTCCCCATATCATAATTGTTCAATAAATTAAAGAGTAGACCTTTCATTCTTGAGGGCAGGATAGCAGTGAGAGAAATCAGAATTCTTCAGATCAGACTTCCTCTTGGTTAAATTTCTCTAAGAGATAGTTTTTCTTTTATGTGCACTGCCATAAAAGCCATTGTTTTAGGCTAGCCACCAAATTATTGTATAGTTTAAAAAGCATCTCAGAGTTTTGTAAGATGAAGGAAATTTTTTTAATCCCCAATCTAAATACTTTCAGATGAGGAAGCAGAATAAGAAAGTATACTAACATGGTTTTGATAGGTTCTTGGCCAGCAGCACACGGACCTAGGTTACCACTAAGGTTACTACCGAACCAGAGCATATATCTGCATGCTTCCTAACAGGGCTGGGTTTTGTATGGCAACAGAATTCATATTGTAATCAAGACCACTGATTAAAAATCATAACTTTTTTTCTTACTAAATTCTAAACTTTCTTTCTATAAAATATGGGCATAGTTTAGTATTAAGTTGACAGTCTTTTGAAAGTATTTGGCAGAGATCTGAAGCAGGTAGAAATAAGGGTGTAATGCAGAATGCACTTAGATACCTAAAGTTCCCCTAATTGAATACATAAATGTCAAAACGGTAGGTTTTATGATCTCATTTGGAAATGGAGAACTAATTTTCAGATGAATAGACAACCTCCTATTTATATACTCCATTAGAGCAATTTCCTAAAGCCCTGAACTTCTATTGCTAATATCTCATCCTTAGAAATGCATAAAAATACATCTTATTTCTGTGATTTTTTTATGTTTTATTTATTATTTTTATTTTATGTGTATGCATGTATTGTCTGCATGTATATAAGTGCACCCATGTTGTGCAATGCCCACAAAGCTCAGAAAGGGCATTGGATTCCCTTGGAAATGGAGTTATTGACATGGAATTAGTCTCTATGTGGGTGCTGGGAACTAAACTTGTTTCCTCTGCAACCGCAGCCAGTGCTCTTAACCACTGAGCCAACTCTCCAGTTCTCCAGTGATTATTCAATTGAAGGCATAAAGAACTCAGTGTACACTCTGTTAGCAACTCCAAAATCAATGATCGTAGGCATTCTGAATTAGATATGCTTCTAATTGTTAATTTTAAATATTTGCGTCTTCAATATTCCTGGCACAAGCTAGTGCTTCGAAGTTTGTCTGAAATTATTTGATACTAAATATAAACATAATACCTGGGAAGAGAATATTTGTGTATATAATTTCTTAGTCTTTGTAATACATTTAACTTATTATCTATATAATGATGAATGATATCAAATATTGTCCAAGAATTCATTCTGTAGTATGATTGTGTGCAAGCTTTGTCCTTCCCTAAAATAAATGACAAATATATCCAATATTTTGGATAAATATTAAAATTAAAATGTTTCCTTTCCATTATTTATGAAGAAAAGCCTCATTCAGCAATCTCAGTATGATGGAATGATATATGAGTGATGATTTTATGAGCTGTTATTCACATACTTGAAATGTAGCAAGTAGTTTGTCATTCAAATGAACTATAAAAGGCCCATAGTAAATATTTTATACATGAAATACATGCAATATTGATTTGGAAATACAGGAAATTTATTGAGCACAAACTGTTGTCTTAAGCACCCTATAAGCCATGGTATTATCATGGAAGATTGGAACAAAGTAGAAAAGCCGTATTTTCTCTCCATTCATCCTATTATGGTTTGCTCTTGTTTTTCCATCCTTGTCAAATATAAAGTTACTGATACTCTGAAAAGACTGCTTCCAGTTTTCTAATATGAGGAATATTTGAGGTGGTCAAGAGATGGTTGTTAAAATTTAAGGGTGTAGATTATTACTACAAAGACCTTTGAAAGTGATACATTAATATCCACTTGCTTCTGGAATGTAAAAGATTATATTTATGTATATTGGAGCCAAAACACATATGCTATAAATCAGAGTTAATGAAGATAAAATTATTATTTTCTACAAATGTTTCTATTCAAATCTTTTGAAAGTGGGTCAGACAAAACTGTGAATAAATAAAAAAGTGACAAGAATGCATTCTATAAATTTAGTCCATTTGTAGAACATAAATAAGGTTACACAATACATACTCTAAAGAATTGCAATGATGTGTTGTATGATAAATCATTGGCATAAGAGGAAAGGGGAGTATGAAGTTATTGCTTATCACAGAGATATTTTATTTTACTGCTGCTCAGGGAGAGCTTCCTTTAGATGCAACAGCAAATTGTTCTGCATGTCTGGAATTATCAACAAGTAATAAACAATAAGGAACTGTTTTGTTTATTTGTTGTGAGGAAACTGTTGAAGCCACCTAGAGTAAATACACATATAAGGAACAGGTTGATGGTTACTCTGAAGGCATCATAGCTAAAGGATGTGAGCTTCTGCTTTTCATTGTAAGTGATGCAGAATAAATTTCCACGTAGAAATTGAAATGAAATCAGCCAGAACCAGTTCTGATATCAGAAGTGTATAATCGATAACAAATTATACTAAGATTAGAGTTTTAAATCATTTTTCATTACATTGATTTTTTAAAGCAAAATAACCTGCATTTTATTATGCAACAAATATCAATTTAGGTACCATTAAAATGTAAAAGTAAACCTAGGCATGAAGTTCAGTGGCAGAGTATTTGCCTGGCTAACAACTGTCTGTAAATTCAGCTCCAGGGGATCTGAATCCTTCTTCTGACCTCTGCGTGCATTGCTTGACGTGGGTGCACTTACATACACATACACACAGGCAATACACTCACACACATAAAATCAATAAATTTAAAAATAAAATACATATCTGGAAAAAATTCCACTGTGTTCAGTTGTTTTAGCAAACAGTATAAGATGGTACAGGTGGGGAGGGACTGCTTTATGACAAACCACACAAGCCTTACCCTTATGCCTTCTTTCTTTGTAATACAAGCTTTGGACTCTAAACGCTGCCTAAGTCATTAGAAGTAGTCTCTATGCTTGTTAGCCATTTCAGTGTACCTTACTTGTTTCCTAGTGATTTCTGAGTGCTTCCTTTGCTTCTTTTATCTTTTTGCCTCTGTGAAGTTCCTTAAGATAACCACCAAGGCCACATATTTGGACTTTAGGGGAGTCCCACACTGACTTCATTTAGTTTGACAGTCACTTCATAACAATTTGCCAATTCTGAGTCCTATAATGATGTCCAGTTAGGCTGATTGTTGGGTTTTGCATTTTAATTTAAGTTTTAATCTATGTATTTACTTACTTTTAGGATATTTTTGTACTAGGGAAGGAGCCTAGTGTTAGTAAACACCAAAATAACTTTTTCCAATCTTATTCCATTGGGTTTATGAGTGTTAACTCACATAGCAAAAATAAAGGAATTGAATTAAGAGGTAAAATGTGTCAAAAGTGTAAAACAAAGAAACAAAAAAGAATTACCTTTAAAGGTTGGAATAACTACAACACTGCTTTGTTCCAGCAAAATAAAAAAAAAACAGGGAAATTTAAAAATATTTGTTCTTGCATAATATTTTATGGGTTTGGTTTTGTTTTTTATTTTGGGTTTTGATTTTTGAGACAGGGTGTCCCTGTAGTCCCACTTTTCCTGGAACTTGCTAAGCAGACAGCTGGCCATGCTTTCACAGAGATTTGCCTAACCCAGCCTGTCAAAGGTTGGGGTTAAAGGCCTGCACTACCACACCTGGACTAACATAATATTTTATAATTATATATTTAATTATTTATTTCTCCAAAACTGATAAATAATTTTAAGCAAAGTAAATATCAAAGATTCTCCTGAAAATTTTATTCAGATGTGAGCATGAATGAATAAATAAGAAATCAAAGAATCATTTTGACATTTTCATAAAAGAAAGAACAGGTTTTTAAAATGAAATAATGCTTCAAGGAAAAAGAGCTGTTCTGACCTGAGATGTTATGGCAGATGCCAACTGCTTGAAAAGAGCCAGAGACAGACCATAGTATTAGTACTGAAAACTGTGACAGGAATCAATGATTAATTATTCTGTGATGGGAAAGTTTCCCTTTGCTCTATGAGCTAGTTGGAGAAAACAGTCTCTTCTATTTTTAGTTCCAAGTATTGCTAATAATTGGATCCTGACATCATCACTGTCTCAAGAACAACCTTTTCAAAATCACTGTAGTTCACTACGCCTCAATGTTTCCAGTGTTTTTTAAATATTTTATTTATTATTTTTATTTTAAGTGTGTGCATGTATTGCCTGCATGCAGGTAAGTGCACCAGTGTCATGCAATGCATGCAGAGGACCGAAGAGGCTGTCGTATCTCCTAGAACTGGAGTTATAGACAGCTTTTAGCTAACGTGTGGGTGCTGGGATTTGAACCCAGGTCCTCTGCAAGAACAGTGTTCTCAACCACTGAGCCATCTCTCCAGCCCCACGTTTCCAGTTTTAAAAGCAGATTATGATGATACCAGCATCAATGGATGTGTCACAGAAAGACAGGAAATAGCCACGTGCAACATTCAGCTAAACAGTCAGCAACACAAAGCATGCTGCCCAACATTTAACTTCTACTTGTGTAAGTTAAGACAGATGATATAAGTCAGATGAATATATGTCCAGTGTTTAGAACCACATTCAACTGGGAGCGCCCAAAGCATGACCCACGATTATTAAGAACCCTTTCATTCTGCCCATTCTAACTGCATGCCAATACTTTACCTTTTCTCCAACACCACCAACTGAACCAACAGATCCTGGGGGTCCTTGTGGTCCCTGCAGTATAAACAAAAAAATACCGTTATCCAGTAAGCTAAAAAACATGTATGTAGTGTTTGTCCAAGAGAGAGAAAAATATGCTAGAATATTGAGTAAACTGAGAGATGTGACAGAGGATATGCCTCTTTGAGCTTTCAAATTTACTGACAGTGAATATATATTACGTCAGCTTTTTAATTCATTAGAATTTTGGACATAAGGCAAAGAGTCCTTCTGACTTTCATCATGCACTTGATACTTGGAACATAATTTTGATCTTCTGCCTGTAGAAAAACTGGAACTGTATATGATTTTATAGTGGATAAAATGAAAGATTTCATTTAAGAATGACATAATCCATGTGTAAAACAAGCTCCTATAAACTATTAAGCTTTAAATTTCTTTCGGGGCATGAAAGCTCAAATCTCTTTATTTTGCCTGCTATTGATTTTGTTTTCAATCATGACCTGGTAAAATTAAACACAGGCATGAAAAAGGATTAAAGCCCACTCAAAAGAATATGGAAAAAAGGCTGTTCCATTGTCGAACAGTAAGAAGATCACAATCCTAAAAATCCATAGGTGACAGTCACATGTATATGGCATTACATTTCTAAATCTTATGATTCTAGTGGACTAGCTTTTAGGGATTATGTCTTTTTTACACAAGTGAGAAGAAACACTTTCTTTTCAGTAGTAAGGGGCACCATCTGCACATATTTTTCTAAATTCTTTATAGACTGGAAATGCATGAGGCAAAGATTTTAGGTAAAAGCCTGCATGTAGATACAAGCATAAGAGGTATTTAAAAAATCCACCTAGACTAGTATGTTCAAAGCCAATTACAAACGTCTCATATCCTTTCCAGAGAAAGCGTAAATGGAAATAATTCAATAACTACTGAATATTTGTCATATACCAGGCATAGTGTAAGTATACTGTTTTGAACAAGGTACTTTTACAGATATTATTTCTCATCAATAAATATATTTTGAATATCAGTTGTGTCTATTTTATATTAGTGGTGACACATTTGCGAGAACAGCTTTATTTCCTTGTGTAATGAAGAGGAATGAGTGGAGGACCCTTGAGTTTCCGTTTACTTCTGAGGTTAAACAATGGTCTGATCATCTCCATTTATCTTGGAAAACATCTGCACTGAAATAATACTAACACTAAATTACTTCTAATAATGAGCATATACTTCACAGTTCTTACATCAGCTCCATTGGGGCCTTGAGGGCCTCTTGGGCCAGGAGGACCAGGTGGACCCTACAAAAGACAAATAATAACGTTTACAAGGATCGCACATGAATGCATTTTCAACCTTTTTTTTCTTTTTTAAGAAAACAGAAACAGAAGACTTCTGCCTGTGAAATCACAGCCAAGGAAGCATTTCAGGGCTATCAGCACTCTCAGTGGAGATGCTATCAGGCAGCAAATGGTTGTTTATTCAGTGATAGGAAATTAACACTTCAGAAAAAAAAAATGACTACAAAAACAGCCAAGAAAGTCTTTTGCGGGTAATGATTTAAAAATACAGAGATGATACTTTATGAAAGAAAGTACTAGAGCATAAAAGGAACATAAAGTTGGAGAAAAATAGTACTTTGCTAGTTTTAGGATTCAAGAATTTAGTAAAAGCACTTCACTTTTTGTGTCTATGAATTCTTATGTCTGATATTCTGTAAGTGGAAATAGCTACTCAGTTTCATTCCAGGAATGAAATTTATACTTTCTTTATGTGTATTAAAATTATCTCAGAGTACATTTTATAAAACATTGTTGGCCTAAACACTCTACTTTGATATTACAATTAAGATAACCCATTGTGGGGGATGGAGAGATGGCTCAGCAGTTAAAAGCACTGACTGCTCTTGCAGAGGACCCAGGTTCGATTCCCAGCATCCACATAGTGGCTGCGAACCATCCTTAACTCCAGTTCCAGGGTAATCCAAAACGCTCTTCTGACCTCCATGGCATTGCAGGACATGGGTGCACTCATTTACATGCAGGCAATACACTCATACACATAAAATAAAAATAAATAAAATGTTTAGAAATAAAGATAAACCATTGTGAAAAATAAATAAAAAAGATAAAATAAAATATATAAAATGGTCTATAGTGAACACCAGGACGTTAGCACCTTTGGATGTCAGTTGATTCTAATGCCATGATTAAAAATTTATCTGCTATGAACTACCACCACACACATACTCAAGGAAAATGTATCAGTGCCACATGAGACTGCAGTTAGAGGTACAAAGTGGCTTGCTGTGTTTCTCCTGCTGCTTTGGAGTAATATTGAGCTACTAACATCTGCAAGGTTTGCTCTCCATCCTTTGCAAGTAGGTTTGTTCAAGACAAAAGGGTTTAAAAGGGTGTAATGAATCTGAGTGTTGACCTTAAACAGAATAAAATGCAATTTATAATAAACAATTAAAATACATATTTGAAAGAAATAAAAACTAGATGAAATGCTGAAGGACAAATAATAAAAAATGTATTCAACATGCATAAATCCTATGCAAGGTCAAACCTGGAAAAAAAAATCTCAGTATAGGCATGAGGAAGGGGGTAAGAAGCTCCAACGCCATGAAAGGAAGCTGTGGCAACAGATGGCTGCTGGGAGGGGACAGTCTCTTTCAAGCATGGGACCCTTTGTAGGTTAACCAGGCTCCAGTAGATGGACCACACCGAAGGACATTTGAGGACACTAATCAGACTCTATAGGCCTTATATATGTAATAGAGCACACTAATTTGGGAGGGGGGGCAATAACACATAGGTAAGGAGACCTAAATGCCATCAAATGATATTGTATGAAAATCACAAAAAAAGAAAAAAGAAAAAAAAATCCCCAAAATGTGGTCATCAAATATTTTCTAATTTGAGAAAACATTTACCTGAAATACTAAGTAGTAAATAAATAGAGGTATTTGAAATTATATATTGAAATCACAGAGTAAAAAGCCCCAATTAAAAATGTAAAAGGGGTGATACAAAGGCCTAATTAATAGTATGTTCTTCACTAAATTTAGAAGTTGTGTCAAAGTTTAAGAAAAATTTTATTCACTCCCACATTCACTAATTATGGAAATCCCATATGAGTGTTATATATTCTTTACTTTCTACATATCAAAATGCAAAGTAAAGTCTCACAGTGTGTCAATTTACTACACAAACCTACTAACAGAGTGATTAAAAAATCTGACTCATCATGCCACTTTTGTATATGACATTTTTCTGAAGTGAGAAAAAGGTAAAAATATTTGAAATATTATCAATGTTTAATTTCATAGATGTAGCACGAAATGGAGAAGGCTTAAGAGGAAAAGTAGCACAAGTTTAGGATGATTTTGTCTGTATAAACAAATGACAATGGATATGAGCAGACTGCAAACCAACAGTGTCACAGAACCACTGGAAAATACTTACCATGGGGCCAACATCTCCGTTTTCACCCTTTTCACCTGGTGGGCCTGGCAGACCCTAAGGAAATATAATAAAAAAGGAAAAGTCACCCACGTGTTTAAAATGACGTGAGTAAAGAGTCTGCTGCACACCAGTGAGGACCTGAGTTTGTATCTCCAGAACCTACGTAAAGCTAGACACAGTGGCAACGTCTATAATCCCAGTGCTCCTTCAGAGAGATGGAAGGTAGAGACAGGAGTCTCTGTAGCTTGTGGGCCTCGCTGCTCTGGAATATGCAGCAAACAAAAGTCTCTATCTCAAAGGAGGTGAGGCAGGGCCAACACCTTAAGTAGTCCTCCGATCTTCACTCAGAAACCACACACTCCCTCTCACAGATGAACACTCTCACACACAAAGACAAAAAAGGAAAGAGATGCATCTTAGGTCAGGAAATTGTTATTGAATATGTCAATGCTGTTGTAATGAAATGCTTCTTCTAAGTATATGGTTAATAAACAAATAATTGTTAAAAAAAAGGAAATGCATTTGGTTAATTTATAATATAAAATCAATAAAATAAATAATAATTTAAATAAGCACATGGAAATTAATACTCAGAAACAAATGCATGTTATAATACTTACATGCTACCAGTTCCTACATGTTACAAAGTATATAACTATATTTACAAATGAAATTCATGCTTCACTTAATATTAATGCATTTTATTTTCCCCACAATAAATATATACATATAACGATATAATTTGAACTTGGAGCAATGAATAGCTAACTACTTGATCTATCTCTTTTGTAAATGGACAACACACTAGCCTGGCACAGAGCTTTCATATTATCACAAACTATTTTAGAATACCCTGACAAGGTGAAGTTTTCACAATCAAATAAGTTTGGAAGGAGCGACTTGCCTGCATGTGCACCTGTGCACCTGTTCACGCAATGTTCACAGAGACAAAAAGGGAGTCAGATCCCCTGGAGCTGGAGCTATAAATGGTTGTTAGCTGTCATGTGGTTGCTGGGAACCAAAACCAGGTCCTCTCCAAGAGAAGCCAGTGCTCTTAACTGCTGAACCATCTCTCTAGTCCCCAATTTCCTCTTTTTTTTTGGTAATATTAATACTTTTATCATACACAAATTGTATATTTAAGAAACATAATTTTATTTCTTCTTATTAGAGTTAAATCACAAGCAATATGCTTTGAACCAGTATGGTTTTCTTATCAGTTTGTTCGTTTGTTTGTTTGTTTGATTGTTTAAGACAGGGTCTTTCTGTAGCCTCAGCTGACCTGGAACTCACTATGTAGATCAGGCTCATCTTGATCTCATGGATTCTCCTGCATCTGTCTTGAAAGTGCTTGGATTAAAGGCAGACCACCACAACCAGCTAGATGTTGACTTTTAATCCCTTGTAAATCATAGTGGATAAAACAAAAACCCATCTTAGTAAAATATTTGCTGAATGAAAGATGAATGAATTAATCCTACGAATGTAAACAAGGAATGTTCTAACCAATAAAATTCATCTTTTAACAGTTTCAATGATATATACAAACTCTCAGTTATTCTAAACATTTGGTCTTTGAAAAAATTGCTCAATATACTTGATTACATAATATGGAACTATTAACATGACATTAACATTCTAGTCAAAAGCTGTACAAAATAAATTAAAACAAATGAGCATACATGCTATAAGTTTAAGTGTAGAATATGTACATAAAATAAGTGTGGCAGTTATTGGTCAGAAATAATAAAAGTGGTAATTAGTTTTAATATTGTGGAATTATGGGACTTTCCAGGTTTTTTTCAATTTTAATAATACTATCATCTTTATTCACCACAAAGTATATATGGCTCATGCCTTTAATCCCAACACTCAGGAGGCAGAGGCAGGTGGATCTCTGTGAGTTCAAGGCCATCCTGGTCTACATAGTGAGTTCCAGGATAGCTGGGGCTACAGGGAGACCCTGTCTCAAAAAGAACAAAAGAAAAAAAGAACTTCGTATGATATATAACAAAAGCAAAACCACAACAATGCTGAAGCTTAAATAATAATAAAACTATTGACATTGATGCTTCAATGTAAGAATTGCAAATCATTTGTCCAATGCACAGCGGCAAGTCCATAGTCCACATTAACACAATGTGTGTAAGTGGAAGAGGACTACAATGGGGTTCATAGGGCAACATTGCTCCCTCTCTCTCTCCCTCTCTCTCTCTCTCTCTCTGTGTCAAATATGTCAAATGGATACCATCTTCTGAAATCGTCTAGAATTTTAAATAGGCAAAGGAAGAACTGATCATATTGCATGAAAAAGCATTTTACTCTACCTAATATTTAACAGGAGATCATTAAAGGTATAGATGCAAGGGTCTTAACTTCAGAGGTGAATCACAGGCACTTCAACTCTTAAAGAAGCAAGAAAGAATAACTCAGAAAAGTAAATGCTTCACTCTAAGACCATTTTCTTTAGTATGCATTGAAACGTAAACAAAACAAGACTTCAAAAACACTACGCAGGGGGCTGGAGAGATGGCTCAATGGTTAAGAGCACTGGCTGTTCTTACAGAGGACTAGGGTTTGATTTCCAGCACCCACAAGGCTGATGACAACCATCTGTAACTCCAGTTCCAGGAGAATCAGACTCCCTCTTCTGACCTCTGCAGGCATTGCACAACACGGGTGTACTTACATACTTAGAGGCAAATAAAAATATTAAAATATTTTAAATTAAAAAAAAACACTATGCAAACTTATAATATCATTTTTAAAGTTTATATCCAGGAACCAATATCCTTTTAGTATAGAATGCATGCCAACCTGAATGATATGCCAATGTTGTGGCAAAAATTTCTTCTATACACATTGCAAGCATGGTTTGACACTGTCATAATTTCATTAATGCATATAGTCATTCCTATCTATTCAAAAGTCTCTCAAAAGAAGAAATATTTTATGCTATATTTGGCCATAATTGGAGCTGATTAAGGTGGTATGTTCTTATTAAATTTAACAGAGATTAAATGAATGAAATCCTCTTTTTAGAACAAACTAATCACAATGCTGCTCCAGTTGTAACCAGTTTTTACATACCATAACTTTCTCTAAGGGAGTACAGGAGGAAAGGATCTGTTTTTATATCTTTTAATTTAAAATCAGTTGTCTTTTACAAGATGCATAAGAAATAAATTCAGGATAAGAATTTTCATTTGCCATATTTCTATAATTTTATGTACACATATTTATTATGCATAATATATATGCATATAGCAAATCACAAGTGGTTTGTATTAAATTTTAGATATTTATTATTTATTTCTAAGATTACTAGTATCTATTCTTTTATGAAGCCTCAAATAATGCAGATGTAATTGTGAACACATTGATTATATTAGCATCTCTTTGATTTTATTTACTAACATTCGCTATGGAAAAAGCACAATATGTATTTCAATTCCTAAAATGAATCTATTTCTTAATATTCTCATCAAAGAACCTATCATTGCAGAAATCATGAAAAATTTTATTGACTGGTCTCTAAATATAGCCTATTAGGAAAGGTCGTTAACCATGAGAACTACGGTCCAAAGTTCAGCTCCACAGCACACAGAAGAATCAGTTAAATGGAAAAAAGGGAATTAAATGGTGACATACTTATTATTGGCCACTCAATTTTAATTTACACTTATTTCAAAATATGTTTCCCACAGATGTTGATAAATAAGACTCGTGACTACTTATTTATAGTTACCTAACAACTTTAAAGGTGTTAAACAAAATAAACATGAAAGTAATAATTTTGTACTTTATAAATATAAAACCAACTTGGACATTATAATAAGAAAAATTAGATTATTGCATTCACTAATAAATATCAGTTCAATATTTTAACAATAATGTTTACATGGTAATTATCATTGTGCATACAATGTAACATGCAAGATCATATATATGAGAGGTTTAATATTAAAACACAATATTTAAAAATAAATATAAGAAATTACATGTATATGTACACATACATATATATATTCCACATGCATAAACTTTTAACAATTGTCCAAAATTTTAGGTCGAGTGATTTGCATTGCCTACCATTTGTAATCAGTAAAGCAAAAAAGTAATATCCATATGATGCATAAATGTCATTTAAAACCAAACTTTATCTTCTCTCAACAAAGTAGGTAGGTACAAACAAGCAAGTGGAAACAGAAAACCAGATGCTTTCTACGTTTGTAGGACTCGGTAACCATCAGGTGGAAAGGGAGAGAAAACCCAGAAAAGTGACTTGAATAGAATATTTTGCATGTGGAAATGCAAGTTACATTGGAATAAAAATTGTATCTCTTATGGTGTTTTAAAATTCAGTGTACTTCCTACTTCATAAAATATGTATTCATAATTTCAAGTGATTTACTCGATTACTTATTTTGTGTATTACTATTTAACACTTGCTGCTGGCAGTTTGCTGATGCAAATGCAAATTTTAAATTTTATTAGTGATCTGAAGTACTAGTTCCTCCAGAGAGCTCTTTCAAAGAGCTTCTTTTAACTCCAAGATATATAAGATTTTAGTTCCCTTTTTAGGAGGTGTAATACCTAAGGTGTCTGAAACAAATTAGGCAGCTACATGGTCAGAAATTCTTAATGAAATTAATATTTCATTAATTCTCAATGGAAAAGAAGTTCATATATATATATACATACATAATTAAGTGGACCCAAATATAGCATTAAGATTAATACTATACACTTATCATTTGTTTCACCTCCTAGGAAAGCTGGAATGAGAAGTTATTGAAAATTAGGAGTAAACACTGCAGAGGCTTCTCACCTGAAGACCTATAGGACCAGGGGGTCCTGGGAAACCACGAGCACCCTCATCACCTTTTTGTCCAAACATCCCTTGTTGTCCTCTGGGGCCTGGCTCACCATCCCCTCCCTAGGGAACAGCAAAGTAATGATCACACATCGGGTAAAACATTATGATACTTTATTATAAAAACCCAATCAATGCTAATCTGTTCAAAGCAGATCTAAAAATAGTAACAAGCAAAAAGTCAACTAAATTCCCATCATCTTCTCCAAATACTATTGCTTGTTTTGCAAGCATTCTTTGTGAAGTATAGATTATTTTCATTTGATTATTATTTCAAATGAAGTAAAAATGATCAAGTGCACTAAACAGTGTTTGAATTTACTGTATATTAAATAATGTTCTGCTGATTCTTTTTTTAAATGGAAAACACAGCATTTTCTGTTTTCGGTATAAGGATCAGCCTGGCCAATTATATTAGATCACTGAAATGTGACTCTATGTTTCTCATGCAAACAAATTTATTATCATATAAAACTGACTGAATGTGTGACTGACACATTCATTAGTTTAATATGGGAGCTAACAAAGTGGAATGAATACTCACAGCAATTCCAGGGGCGCCAACAGGTCCTTGAAGACCTGGCGGACCAGGAGGGCCCTGCAGTAACATACAAATCAGAAATCTTAAAATCAAAGTTGGAAAAGCACCAGGTAAATAAAGGGAAAAAAATATTTGGCTAACCAAGACCTAAGAAACATCTCTTCGTTCCTTTGGAAAACAAGAAATTTTATTCAGATGTCTTGGTAGCTTGTACAGAAACTCATTTATTTTATTCTCTGAAGACTCATATTTTCATAAATATAATCAACTTAAAATAGATATTTATTGAAGACACTCTCATTGGCAATGTTGTAGATATTTAAGAACAGGCTGTATGTTGACTTAAATAAATTTCAAGACTCACGATCGAAAAATTTCAAAAATCTATATTTCTCAGGTGAGAGAGATATATCAGAAAGAGCTCGTGAAAAAAATTAAAAATTGTGTTTATATATGATCATATAAATTAGCAACATGATTCTGAGGATGTTGTACAGATAGCATGTGTTGATATATTATAGTCAAGAAAACCTGTTTGTCCACACATATAAACTTGGTGTTACAAATTGAGGTGCATATTACTATTTATTTCAAAAAATAGGTTTCAACGAACTTTAGAAGTCATATATGCATAGAAAAATGCTCTTTTCTTGACTTGATAACTGTTCAAGCTGAGGAACTATTGTCAACTGAATATCGTTGGATGAGGGAGAGCAGATCTTCTTTAAGGGAGTGACCGCAGATAGGCTGACTAGACTCCCATGGGTGAATTTGCACCAAGGAACATCTGGGTACAAATGTTTGACCAGATAGATTTAACATATATAACAGAATGCATGAATTAAAGTGAGGGTGGGGGACTATGGGAGGGCACAGATGGGAAAGGGGTGTCTAAATTTGATTATGATTTGTTATCTGGGGGCTGGAGAGATGGCTCTGCAGTTAAGAGCACTGGCTGCTCTTGTAGCAGACCTGGGTTCTCCTAGTTCCTATAATCCACAGAGCAGCTAACAACCTCAACTCCAGTCCCAGGGTATCTGACATTCTCTTCTGACCTCCATGGGCATTGCACATCATGGGCACACTTGCATACATGCAGCAATATGTGCATGCACATAAAATAAATATAATAAAATATTTTTAAAGATTTATTATATGAAATGCACAAAAGCTCAATAAAATATTTTTTAAAGAGGAATTGGTTACTAAAGAAATAAAATATGTCATTTAATTAATTGTTCTTTATCATAGCTATATTTTGGGGGTGAAGAATATTTAAAAGATTTGAAAATATCTATCGACCATGAAGGTACTTGAGAAGCTTTAAGGTGTCTGGCCATTCAAACTTGTTCTTAACTCAGTTCCAAGGCAAGTGGTATCTTCAACAATATGATCTTATCATTTAGTTCTGGTGGGAAATCAAGGTGGGTGTCAAGAGCCTTACTGTTTAGGGGTCCTTTGGGGCCTCCCTAAGTAATAACTTATATGGAGGTATCTCACCCCTGGCATTAGGCTGGAAGCTACGTTCTTGTTGACTAGCTTTCATGATGCTGGAAGGTGCTATGCAGGCTTCTGTGGGAGAAGAGGCATCAGAAGTCTAACCAAACTGTGAACATTATGAATTACTAAAGAAACCAACAGGCACGATATGTCCAGTGGTGACATAGCAGCATGACTGTTATGGGAGTACCCAGTCATTCCCTTATATTTCAGACCTACTTCGCAAGAGGGAATTCAAGCCTGGTACTGTAAACCCAATCAAAGACACATGGCTGAGAAAGTCACAGGCCATGGGATGGGTAATATACTGTTGTTTAGTTAATTTGACACAGAAGCAACTCTTGGCTGTTCAAGGTACTGAGAAAAAAAGGGCTGTTTGATTGCACAGTCCTTAATAAGACATATAAACTGCTCCATCTAAGGTTCAAGGAATATAAGGGAAGGGGAGAAAGAATGTAAGAACCAGGATATAGAGAGAAAAGGAGGCATGCATAGAATCATTGTGATTATGAACACAGCAGCTGTACTTGCCTACTCTGGGCCTGTAAAACATTGGCTTTTTCAACAGCCAGTTAGGGATATGGAGATGATCACGGGAGCCTACACCTCCCCGCTGAATTGTTGGTTACTGATGGATCCTGGGGTATGAGGAGTCCATATCCTAAGATGTGTATCCACTGGGGAGCCCACCAGGTTCTATATGCGTGGTCCCAAGGATGACCCTGATCAAACTCAGTGGATCACAAAGTAAATAAATAAAAGATATGAATAGGACAGTGTCTTTCAGGGAGCAAAGGATGTTGACAGGGGTGTGAAGGCAATAAGAATGGGTGGGGCTCAACGTAATCAGGATATATTCATACATACATGAAGTTATCAAAATCAAATTTACTTAATAAAAATATGCTCTCATAAGAAGCAGGATAGTGCTGATCTTTTATGCCAAACAGATATCTGTGTTAATGATGCAAAATGAGTGTGAATAAAACTGTCAGCAGATGAGCAACTCTCATGTCAATATCTACAAGTTTTAATGGAAATAGCATTTTTCGTTATTTCTACTCAGTCAATTCAAAAATAACTGCTAATGCATTTGATGAAGTATTGAATATTTTGATCTTATAAATAGTGACTTTCCATATATGTCTTTTGGTATTCATATGACAAAACAAAAAATATACATAAGGTGCTTCTGTTTCATCCTAAAATACAATGTTTTTCTCAAAAAAAAAAACTGTAGTCTGAGTTTTAACTTAACTAATAAGTCCCTCATGGAATACTATTTTTACTTGTATGGGAGACTGAGGGTAAAATTTTGATAACTTGGTATATATGTTATAGAAGGTGATGGTACCCTACAACTTAAAAGAAACAAGGGACAGTGTATAATTATTGATTAGATTTTAATCAAGAAAAGTTAGTTTTTTATTCAACTGTACCTATCACTGAAGGCTTCACAGCTTCCCAATGTGGGCAAGCTTCCTAAGGATGTTTAGACTGCATAAAGCACTATGTCAATAATTTTATGGCCTTACTTTACTACTGAATAAATAAATTCCAAATGATCTATACAAGATATTATAAAATTAAGTGCATGAAAAAGCATCAAAATCCAAAGGAGAGTTCAGAAATACAATGTAACTACACAAAGGCCATATACTTTATGGCCATTTATCAAATTCTGACATAGAATTAAAGACAGATCAAAGTGATCTGTCAAAATTTCCCAAAAGTTACTCTTTTCCAATTACATATGCATGTATCTTTATAATCCTGGATCTCAGTGAAAATATATCATTACGAAATGAAATAAAAGTTTGTTTTGATAATACAGCTTCTATTCAGCTAATTTCAACAAATATGAAACAGTTCTAACTTCTGTGATGTGAATGTGTTCCCTTAATTTATTGAGTTTCTTTGTGTGTATGAGTCTGTACTCCCTTAATTTACTGAATTTATGGATTTGTGTTAAGTATCATCTATCTATCATCCATCTATCTATCTATCTCTCTATCTGTCCATCTATCTATCTATCAATCATCTATCATCTATCTATCATCTATGTATTGGTCTGTCTATAATCTATATCATCTATCTATCATCTATTGGTCTGTCTATAATCTATATCTATCTATCTATCTATCTGTCTATCTATCTATCATCTATCTATCCATCTACCTATCTATCTATCTTCTATCTATTTAGATTTTTCCCTTAATTTACTGATTTAGTTTCTCCTATCTCTGTCTCTCTGTCCCTGTCTCTGTCTCTCTGTCTGTGTGCGTGTGTGTGTGTGTGTGTGTGTGTGTGTGTGTGGTGTGGTGTGCCATGCTGTGTGTGGTGTGGTATATTCATATGCTCAGGTGGAGGCCAGAGAAAGGTGCTTATGATGTTTATATGGTCTGCTCTAGCATTCTTTCACTCACTTTCTTGGGAAGAGGTTTCTCACCAAACCTGGAGCTAACCTGGCTTACAATCACTCCAGGCTTTTATGTGTGTTCTGGAGATCGGAGCTCATGCTTATGCAGGAACTATTCACTGAGCAATCTCCCCACATCCTTTTATTTTTATTTAAGGTAAAAAGTTATTTGTGCTGGCTATTCTTACTTTAGATGAATTAATACATGGATATTAAAAATAGTTCCATTTTAATTCACAATTTAACAAGCACATAGACAAAATCTGCTGTGGGCTTCCAAAAAAGGGTTAGGACATACCAGGATCATGGAAGAAAAATGTTTGGGACCTAGGAGCTAAATGACAGCTACCTGGAGATTTTAAATTGTAGCTTGTTAGAAAGAATAAAACCTTTTCTGAACATGGGTTATGCCAAATGTATAATGTATGCTAATTAAAGAAAACATGTTTACTTATTATTAAGAAATTTAAATCAAATATGGTATGTAATTAGCTAAATAGAATTGCAAATCCATGTCCAACAACTATTGAAAAAAATCTGTTAATTTATGGAATTGGGTTTCAGCACAATTTCCTTGCCCTAATTTAGCAAAACATATCCAAAGACTCAGCATTGTCAATCACTTGCCAATATTTCACTCTAATTTTAAAAATAAAGAACATTTCATGGTTTAAATATTGTGATTTTTGGCAAGTTTTTTTAAGGATGCAAAAGTTGATCTTATTTTACCCAAATCCCAAGCTTCCCATGTTTGTTTTTGTATTAATCTTTCAATGAAACATGTCAGACTAAAGATAATTCTCCAACTTGTCCACCTTGCTGTGGGGTATATATATAATTTTAAAAAGAATAAATCTACTTTTGTAACAAACCAGAAAGCAAACAACTATGTTCATTTTCATTAAGATGAAGATAAATTAGTTGTTCTGCTTAAATAAGCAACAAGTGAAGTATTTAATTGTTGCAAAGAACTGGAGGAGGAGACAAACTCTGAGAACAATGCTAACATTTAGCAAAACTCAGAGTAACCGAGGCTAGAGAGCCAGATCTGTGTTTTAGAGCACTGGCTGCTCTTGCAGAGGACCCAGGTTCAGTTCCCAGCACCTACAACAGCTAAAAACCATCTTGAACTCCAGCTTCAGGGGATCTGATGCTTTCTTCTAGCTTCTGTAGGCATTGTACAATATGAATTTACTTACATTCATGCAGGCAAAACACATATATAAAAAGAAAAACAAATATTTAAAAAAATTTTTATTATTTTTATTTTATATGTATGACTGTATTGCCTGCATATAGGTAAGTGCACCATGTCATGCAATGTCCGTGGAAGACAGAAGAGGCTGTCGGATCTCCTGGAACTGGAGTTATGGACAGTTGTTAGCTGCCATGTGGGTGCTGAGATTCGAACCTGGGTCTTCTGCAAGAACAGTGTTCTTAACTGCTGAGCCATCTCTCCAGTCCCAAAACAATGAAATATATTAAAAGTCAAATAACAATTTCTTTTAAAAGTTTGAGCCTACTTTTACATGTTTTTTTTTCATAATTTTCTTATACTGTTTTCTAGAATTAAGATGGTATGTTATTGCATGTATTTTATGGCTACTTCTTAAGGTTTTGAGTTTTGAATTGATTTAAAACTTTTTTTGTACCGTGCTGACATATGAACAATAACTGAAGTGATCAAAGTCACAATGTTATTGTGACGTCATATAGTCATAGCAACAATGTTATATTGAAATCATTAAATCAGGCTCACAATAAAGAAGAAAAAAAGACTATGTGTATCCTTTCAAAATAATAATGCGATTATTGTTACCTAATTTCAATATAATATTCTTACTATGGTCATATTATCTGAAAGCTCTTATATTTGAAGTCTGGATTTTTCCTGTAGTTCAAAACGATCAATTCATAGGATGTTGGTAATTGTTCATCATGGGACTTAATCAACTCTAATAAAGCCTCTTAAAACTTACGTATTAAAATATATAATGATTTCCATTCTAAAAGTATGAAAATGAGAAGTAGTTCATAGCACACAAGTAGAACAGAAAATATTATGCATCCTATATATTTCTAAAATTGTATAAAAAAGAGGAGGAAATGAAGTCAAACTGTATAAGACCAGATGCTCTTCAGAATATAAAATAGGAATGAGATACTGATGGTAAGTACGTGGGATTTCATCACCAAAGGTACTTCATATATGGAAGAAAAACATAAACACATAATTTAATGTGAAGTATTAAGATAAAAGTCCAAGAAGCAAGGCAAGTGTGCCATTTCTGTGAAAAAGAGAAACTATTTTAATAGTTTTATGATTTGTCAAGAAAAGCTTTTCAAAATAAATGTATAACACATGGGACTATATGTATCAATCTGCATCCAGGCATAGCACACCAGTAGTGGTGTCTCTGTTGCCCAAGCACACTTTAATGTGAAGTATTAAGATAAAAGTCCAAGAAGCAAGGCAAGTGTGCCATTTCTGTGAAAAAGAGAAACTATTTTAATAGTTTTATGATTTGTCAAGAAAAGCTTTTCAAAATAAATGTATAACACATGGGACTATATGTATCAATCTGCATCCAGGCATAGCACACCAGTAGTGGTGTCTCTGTTGCCCAAGCACACTTTGGAAAAGAAGGCGATTGAATTACACTTTCACCTGCTATAGTGGAGATATTTTTTTAAATCTTACAAACATACTTAATGACATAAAGTAAAAGATGCATCATGATAGAGTATGATAGAATCGTGTAAACACAAATTGTGGTAATGTAATCCCAATACTAAGGAGTTGGAGAGTTAACTGTTGCTATGGAAAATATTCATGTCTATGGTATTAAGAGAATGATGCTCCACAGCAAGTCACCGGGAACTCACGTTTTCTCCTTTGTCTCCTTTGCTGCCTTTTTGGCCTGGTTCACCAATTTCACCCTGTATTTGAAAGATTTAAGTTAAAGTTTATTTCCAGTACATCAAACCTGTAATCTCACTGTCTCTTTATCCTCAAATTTTAATATTTTGTTTAAAATAATTACAGGCTAGAATGTGACATCACTGTTTCAATAAGGAGACCTGGGAGCTCTCTGCTTTTACCTTTCTAGAATTGACCAATATCTACAAGGACATTATCAGCATAGCTTTGAGGGGTACTGTGGCTGGAAATATAACTTAAAAACTGATTTTCTCTAGGATATCACCACTGTAAATTGATCTATAAACTGATCTATAGACATAAGCACATATTAAACAAAATAGTTATTCCTTTGTCTAGTTTTCTAATACGATTATGAGAATACTAATTGGAAACTAAATTAAACTATTAAAGCTAAATCAAAATGTTAGTAAAAGGTACGCATCAACTCATTGAGTTATAAGAGTACACAACTCACCCTTAAATCTTATGGCACATTTTAAAAACTGAACATGTATAAAGAATTATTTCCACTTTATACTACTTTCAGAAACATTTTTAAATTAATTTTTTTCTGATGAACACAGTTCTTTTATTCCATGTTCTGTTTATATTTTATATGCTGTTTTATGGAAGGCATGTTAATCACCAATTTCTAAAATAATATTTCTGAGCAAAAACAAGCTATAGAAACCTGAAAAATGCTAACCTGCTACTCAGGATTTGACCTTCAGTTAAATATAGAATCCTGATTAAGGATTTAAGTGTTTCTCTAGGATACACTAACATAACCAACGAGTCACCCACCTTGTCTCCGTCTTCTCCAGGGGAGCCAGCAGGACCCGCAGGCCCTGGCAGACCCACGGGGCCTTGCACGCCATCTCGTCCTGCAGGGCCTTGGGGACCTTTTTCTCCCTGCATGAAAATACAATATATCATTAATTTGCTATAAGGAACCTATAAAAGGTCCATTTTCTATCTGGAGAGATGGCTCAGCGATTAAGAGCACTGACTGCTCTTGCAGAGGACCGGGTTCGATTCCCAGAACTGGCATGGAGGCTATGAACCGTCCTTAACTCCAGTTCCAGGGGAATCCGAAGCCCTCTTCTGACCTTCGTGACACAGCACGAAATGGGTAAACTCACTTACATGCAGGCAATACACTCATACACATAAAATAAAAATAATAAAATATTTTTAAAAATATTGTACTCTGGAAAAGTTCTCAGGGCAATATGCAAAATGCCTTTGCTACAAAGCAAAAGTTACACTCACAAGTGTCATGGTCTCATTCTAACTTTCTAGCTGTTTCCAAAAAGGAATTAAAAAAAAAAAATAGCATGACAGGCATGATTTGAATGTGTTTTCTGCAAGAGCATGTTGGAAAGGAGCCCTTTAACACAATGATGTTAGAAGCCGGAGCTTAATGAAAGGTGATCAGGTCATGAAGGCCCAGTGGAGGAATTAATAGCATTATTAGTGTTCATTCCTACAGAAGTGAGCAGTTATCGAGGGGCATTGCACCCTCTCTCCCTCAGGTTCTCATTGCTGAGGGATGGTATAGGACAAGGGATTCATGAGATGAAGCCCCTTGATCTTGGATCTCTCAGCTTCCAAACGCATGTATTCATATCTTCTGTTCACCATATATAACCAAGTGTGCTATTCTGTCACAGACCCAAAAAGGCAGAGATATCTGAACAACAGAAGTGAGTTGATGAGACAAAGTGTGTAGACAGTGAGTTCCAGCCTGTTGCTAGAGCTGAAGGGGGCGGTAAAAGGAGAGCAGCATTTTCAATTACAAACTCAGACTGAATCGTGCATCTCATGCCTTAAAAGAAAAACTACTTTCATATTTTATGTGCATAATTGCATTTTTATCTATTCTGAATGAATCTATGTTTCAGTCTTGGATGATGAGAGACCTTTCAAAAAATATAATGATTGAATCAAAGCCAGAGACAGAGCAAAAGAAGAGAAATCTTGACAAAGAAACAAATCTAATAAACAGAAAAATGTCCATAGTAATTGATAGATAAAAGTTTAAAATCTAATTGATATGGCATAAAATAATCAGGTGTTTCTCATCGAACTACTGGAGACCAGCATTAAATGAGAGGAGGTGCTCAGGTCTGCTATGGGATTAATGGATTAGCTCTGGAAACAACTGAGGTGGAAGTGTGTTACGAGAAGTGTAAAAAGTTCACATTTTTCCAATATAAAGCTGGAAGGTATAGTTTTAATCAAAACTCCCAATTTTATTTTTTAAAAGGAGCAAAATGAGAAGGCTTTTACATTAATAATATCCCACTCCACAGATATTAGGGCTTCATAACCTGTGAAAAAAATGTCATCTCCTTTAATTGAATTTGAGAGTTTCTCTATTGTAGGTGGAGAAGAAGCTCTTGTCACATGCCAGGCACATACACAGGGAGAACTCAGTGAGGTATGAAGAAATAATATCCTTGAATAAAAAGTAATAATGTGTGTAGGTTGGAAGAGGAATATATTTTCTCTAGACATTACTTACAGGAGCACCTTTCTCTCCAGCTGGACCAGGAGGGCCCTGGGGTCCCGGACGCCCAGGCAAACCAATTGGGCCTGCTGTGCCTGCTGAACCACGCTCTCCCGGTGAGCCCTAATACATGGCAAAGGAGAATTTTGTTATTAATAGTGGAGAAAATTAAACTAGTTTAAGGATTGCATATTTAACAATGGAAATCTGGTCTGGTATAATGTAAAAGCAACTTTCAGAAGATTTTAAAATCTCAAGGATTATCTATCCTTACCACTTGACAGCTTACATCCTAGCCACAATATTAAGTACAGATGTTGAAACTAAGAAACATTGATGAAATGAATGATACCTCAACGTCATATGTATTTAACATTTTAGAGATGATATGTAATGTTTTTAAAGCTTGTATTTTAAAGTCTACACAATGACCTATAAAATATGTATACGATATCTAACATCTCATAATTTTCATCTTGTATTGTAAAGGATTTGGTAGAAGACATTGCGTACACTTTCAGTTTTTGAAGTGGTTTCTAGGCTTCACTTCAAACTTGTTAAATAAAAATTTCTAAATCCAAAAACATGAACCCAAAAGTGTATGTATGTATGCATGTATGTGCATATATGTGTGTATGTGTAGGTATATGTACATATATGTATATATGTATATATAATATATACACATGCACATACATATATGTTGTGTCTCTCTTACCTTTGGTGTACATCCTGGCTGGATTGCTACATTGTAAGTTATTATATTATTTCATAAAAGGTATAGATGTGAAGTTCTTTGCAAAATATATAAAATCATTTTAGTACTGATTTGTTAACATTACAATTTTCATATATTGGAAATCAGATTATTAAACATATATGGATTACTTAGAGTGTTCTAATAATATCATCATTAGCTAGTAAACTAATTGCATGTGATATGAGAATGATGATAACACTATCAACAATTTGTGTTCACACAGTGCCTTGCAGTTTACTAATTGATGTGTTTGCTTTGGGGGGAAGGTTCAAGAAATTCCATTTGCTGTTATAGCTGTTTGATTTTGGGACAGGGTTTCCCTGTAGCTCCAGCTGCTCTGAAACTCAGATTGAGGCTGCCCTCAATCTCACAGAGATCTGTCTTCCTCTGTCTCCCAAGTGCTGGGATTAAAGGTGTATGACACCCCATCTGGCAGAAATCCCATGTTTTAAGATGAAAATAATTTGTCTCAGATTGATTGTCTTCACAATCTCACCTAATCTTGGAACCAGCTCAGCACTGTGTCTGCAAACTTCCTGCACTGTGTCTGCAAACCTCCCACTGCTTAACTCTGAAGACATCAATACAATGACAGTTCACTGGGGAATTCTTTGAATTTACCACCCACTTGGTTTTACTAAGGTACTCATTGATTACAGATGATAGACAAATTTTCTACTTAATTTCCTAATATTATTTTTCTTCCCAAATTCTCTTGTTACAGGAAATATTTCTTATTTATGCATTTAAAGTTGGAAAATAAATAGATGAGATTCAAAATTTTAGCTTCTAAGGGACAAGTAAGAAAATGTGATTTTTTTTTTCTTTATTATCTTATGGCTAAATGAACCATTGGTGAATTTTTATAACTGTGGGGTTTTGTTTGTTTGTTTTTTATTTGGTTTGGTTTGGTTTGGTCTGTTTGAGACAGGGTCTCCCTGTAGCCACAACTGGCCTGGAACTCGCTATGGAAACCAGACTGGGCTTGATCTCACAGAGATCAGCCTAGCTCTGCCTCCCAAATGTGGAGATTAAAGTTGTGCACCACCACGCCCAGCTTAACCATGGGGTATCTTAAACTTAAGAGAAAGAAATAATTTAAAGAACTTCTTCAAAAATGCAGTCAAGGAAACTGTGAAACTTGAACTTGCTTTAAGCAAGGAGTGGTATTTTCTGTGTTACATTTACATGTATAATCACAGAAAATAATTGTCATGTATAAAAATTAATGAAGAACTTTTGAAACTTTCGTATTTACCAATCAAGTATCCAATACTAAATATGAAGGGACATTTACAAGGGAAATTATAGTTCACATTTTCTATAGAATAAACATTTATCCCTAGTAATATATACATTATTTTAAGTTAATAATGCTAAAATCTTTTTGTGAAGGTAAGCCAAGGACATTTAATATATCGATTAACAGTGAAGCCAGCTTCTAGTGAATGACTCCATAGGCCAGTGTAAAAGAGAAAAATAATAACGGAGTGTCCCATGCAATTCAAGAATTGCAGCACTAAATCTGAAATAAAAAAATCACAGAAGTTTGACTTTAATTACTAGAGGTAGGGAAATGGAAAAGAAGTGATAAAGAAAAAAGGAAAGAAAGAACACTTTTCCTAACATTAGCAGAAAGTGAAGCTATCTCTTGAATTGATAAAATGACAGAAAGAGTTCAGTGATAAAAACATGCTTTTCCAGGTAAAAGAAAATCTTTGACAAAACAGCACGTAACACAGGAGGTTAGACTGTTTATTCTAATCACAACACCACCGAGGAAAGGGTTTCGCTGTAAGGAAAGTGGATAAACATGCATACAATTTTATTCTTTTGGGCTTTTATTTAATATCTTACTTGCAAACCTCAGAAGGTTAAATACATTCTTACCATCAAATATATAATAACTATCCCATGTAAAGGCTGAGATATTTTATTGTAATTGGTTATACAAAAGGATACAATTTTAAAAATATTTTACTTATTTTTATTTTATGCGTATGAGTGGACTGCCTGTATGTATGTAAGTGTACTCCTGTTGTGCAATGCCAGTGGAGGTCAGAAGAGGTGGTCAGACCCTCTGGAACTGGAGTTACAGACAGTTGTTAGCCACCATATGGGTGCTTGGATTCGAACCCTGGTCTTCTGCAAGAGCGGCTAGTGTTCTCAACTGTTGATCATCTCTCCAGCTCAAAAAAGGATATAATTTTTATCTATCAACCTAGGAAGTTTTTCTCTATTTACTTCCTGTGAATTCTTTGTAAATGGCACAAAAATTATTTTCTCTTTACATCCATATCATTAATGAATTTGTGCCAAATTTAGATAAGAAGGTGATAGATCGGCATTGATTGAACACTCTCTGAATTACTGAAAGGGGTCTCCTTGACCCACATAGTAATTCTCCATTTTTAGTAACATAAAAAGGTTCCGGTTTTGATAATTATTCAAAGAATGAACAGCTATGATTTTAAATGCTAAACATTTTTCCCTTGTAGATGATGAACTAAAAAATAAATAAGGCTAATGCATACTCCTGAGAATATATTTGTTCCTGTCTTTCTAGAAACACTCAAATACACATACTTAGAATGTTTTTGAGTTCTGTTGTGAATATACTTCTCTCCTAGGCATTGCCTGCCTCTCTGTTTCTCTGACAAAACATACTTAGTTTTATTTCTGTTTCATCATGAATATCTTGACTGAAAAACCTGTCTTTTCAGGCACTATTAAAATTCCAACCATTCTTAGACAGAACACACAACCATCTTACCAAGACACGGTACTTATCTGAAAAGAAGGGTGAGCTCTACTCTGTTCTCTAGCTTTATTTTTCTCTGTAAAGTACTGCATCATGAAGCACAGAATTTACCCATAAATAATCAATGGTCTCTTCAAAGATATTTCTGAATAATAAAAATACTGTATCTGACAAATATAAACCATAATAAAAAATTATAGAAGGTTTTTACATTAGTGATATGCATTGTCTTTCATAAATTATGTAACTGTGTTGGACATATTTAAGCCCTATATTGCTCAAGTGTAGTCAACAGAAGTATTCAGATGATCGGCTGAATTTTCCATAAAAGATGTGTTAGTCAAAGAAATATATGTCATATTAGGTTGATATATTATGATTGACATGCTGTATGAAAGTAATCATGGTTTTTATTTTAAAGAAATATATTTATTGAAAATGAACTATATTTAATATTTAAATTTAATCCATATGTTTCAAATAATTATTTTAAAGTATCTTAAGCATTCTGGTTTGAATCTATGACAAATACTGTATATATATATGTTTTTATTATAAAACAGAACTATTCTAATTTTTGCCTTGGAGCATGACTGAGATTAAATTTTCGATTATCATCCTGCTTTTTGAGCTGCATTAAAATTAATAATGAAATATATTGCTTTGCTGTAGTTAAAATATTTCTCAGGATCTTGTCAGATCTCATAAACATAGAAACAAGTGATGAGAGCACACAGAGACATTTGAATTTATACTTGTGCCCTAAAGGACAATGCAACTCCTTCTCTACTGGTTATTACAGACACTCTGTAAGCCTAGATATCTGTAATAACAATGCTCTGGCAGTTATTTTATTTTATCCATAAATAAACATAAAATGAAAATCTTTGGTGGCATCTATTGATTAAGTAAATGATATATAGCAAAGTTGCAAAGCTTAAATATTCTCAGATCAGCTTGAAAAGAATAAGCCTTATGAATCCTTTCATTTTAATTGAACCATTGGACAAGTACTATCTCTCTTTAAGCTAAAGTGTTATCCCAATAGTAAAAGAAAGTCCTGGGGCTGTAGAGATGACTCACTGGTTAAGAGCAGTGGCTGCTCTTGCAGAGGACCTAGGTTTGGTTCCCAGAACCCACGTGGCAGCTAACTATCTGTAACTCCAGTTTCAGGGAATGCAACACCCTCTTCTGACCTCCACTGGAATTGCATGACAAGGACCACTTATGTACATGTAGGCAATGATATAAAAATAATAAATAAAATATTTTAAAAAGAAAGTCCCATTTATAAATTTATGCTCTTGTGACACTGGGGAAGCAATATGTCCCAGCTTTTCAGAAATTCACCCAGAAAGTGACTTTTTTCATAAACTTTGGATATCTATACTGATAAAACGTTTGCATTTCTGTGTAGCTGACAATAGTAAAGCAAAGAGTGGTTTGTAATTGCTAAGTAAACAATTATGTATAAAATGGGTGTACAAATTGAAATATAGGTTAAATTCATAGCATCCAGCTCTGTAAAGATAGAAATTAACTTCTGCTTATTTCTTCGAAATAATTTAACACGTGATAATTACTAGCACAAAGTACACACTA